TCTACTTTCCACATACCTGCTCCCTCCATCTTCAACAGTGATAAAACAGATGATTTATTAATTTTTTGTCTTTAATATATTTCATCAATACTTGTACCACAGTGCCTAGACATTATTCTGCATTTTTGTCTGCACTTATATATAGTTCCCTATTTGAATGGAATACTTGATGGAAGAATAGACTGTGTGTGAATATTAGAAAGAGTATGAACTTTATGGCAGACTGATTATGGCCTTAGAAAAAATTCAACATCTCCCAGACTCAATTTGCTCATTTATAAAATTGGTTCAACAATAACGAAATTGTTGGGGTTTTGTAACAAATGTATGTAAGCATGTTGGAACATTGCTTCTTGTATAACATGTATTCACTACAGGAAAACTATTATTTTTATAGTAATTCAACTTTTATCCTTGGTGTTTGACATTGTGCAAATTGTACAGTAGATTTCAATTAATATTAGTGGATTATATAAAGGAATGAATGAAACTATAGAATTATTGTTTGCCAATGACATAATTTGGGAATTAAGAATCAGAAAAATACTGAAAATTGAGAAAATATGTCAAACATAATGTAAAACTACAAAACTAGTAATGTTTCAAAATAGAAAACATCTTAATGAGAAATTTTATGGACAAAAATGTCAAAATTTTATATAGGTTTCAAGATAAGCATGAATGAATAGACACAAAAGCATGTTCTTTAATGAAAGGATTAAACAACTATTTGAAAGTGTCATTTCTTCTTAAAACAGTATAAATAATTCCAGATATTTTTGAGAACACAGCATAATGATTTTAAAGTTAATTTAGAATATTTATATAAGTGATATTTCCTTCTTTGAGGAATTCTAAAGTAACTAGAAATTGGGGACAAGAATATAATAGACTACCACATGCTAAAATGTGAAGAAAATATAAACAGCGCTATAGTGATGGAAATAGTAATATGGTTGCAACAACAGATTTATAGAATAGAATAGCTTGGAAAAATATGTAAACTATTGTAAAGGAGTTTTTTTTTAATAAATTATTATCAAATAGTATTTATAGCATACTTTTTTGGTAAAGGCACTAACATGTCATATTATTGTTATACAGTCACACATTTGAGTAAAAAAATGTTTGAATAATTAAGGGAAATTTTATTAGTAGTTGTCTCTGGTTAGTGATATTTTGGAAGATTTAGTTTCTGTTCATCTATAGTTTTGAGTTTTCTGTAATACATATGCATTATGCTTGTAATGAAATGAGAGAGAGAACGAGAGAGAGGAAATGGAGGCAATTGAGAGCAATCAGAGAGTTCCAAGGGGTGAGCCTCACAGGCTCACAGGAATGTTTGTACTCCTGCCAACTTCCCACTAAGATGCTTTCCAAATATTCCTCTTTATCTGTCCCAAGGGATAAGCACTTAGTTTCCTAGTGAAGCCATTCCCTTCCAAATATGTCTATGAGCTGTGAAGAGCCCACTGTCACTATCCATGGGAGCCTGAGTCTGGCCCCAAGGGACACCACCTCCCCATGCTCAGGGAGTTTAGTGCATATCTGGAACACATCAAATTTTCACACTTCATATCCCATGTCACCAGAAGCTTATGATAGCAAAGCTAGCAAAGGCTTTTGACTGTGTAGTCAAAAGATGATATTAGATAATTAAAATAAAATAACAAAATATTATATCTATGGCATGCCTGATGTCAGCACTATCACTTGATCTCTTCATTCATCTGACCTAACTAGACCAGTCATTTAAATCTCTGATGCTCAGTTTTATCATAGTTAAAGTAATACTAATGATCATATTTCTTAGTGCATTATTATGGTCTGGATGATGATGATTATTATTGGAAATTGTTAGCTCTTAACAACAATCTTCACTCC